TGGCACCTGATCCCACCTCTGATGTTTTAGAGGTCCGCGTTTGCTCTGCTCCAAAATTTGTATCGTTTAATGGTTTGTTGAACCATCAAAATACACGAGGCATTCCATGTTAATTCCATAGTCCCCACCCACTGACGTCAGACGCAATGACAGCCGTGAGAGATTTACATGCATATATTGGCCACTCGACCTTTCACTTGGCGATATTTGCATTGTTGTAAATATCGAGAAATCAACACACTTAACTTTTAAAGAATTATCTCAGAGAAAACAGTTGGAAATGTAAATATTATACATTTATTGACAGGGTTCGAGGGCAATTTGCGTTTTGTCCGACCCAAAACCAAACAGTTAGGTTCGAGGGGTCGACTAACACATTTTGCACACAGTCAATAAATGTTCTGTTATATATATGTGCCGGGTATATTATTTTTTGACATACACGTATCTTGATTTAAATTTGCAGTAAAACTCGGTCAATTCTGTCACGCATGCAAATAAGATTTAGCTGATCCCGCCCACAGTGTGACGTAAGCGGTCCAATATCTCATCGACAGGTCCAATATCTCTGCTAATTAAAAAAATCGATGTTTGACAGCAGAGTGAAATAATGGACCCGTCGATGAGATATTGTACCGCTTACGTCACACTGTGGGCGGGATCAGCTAAATCTGATTTGCAATCGTTGGTGTTCAGCAGTAATGGAATTGTCCGAGTTTGACCACAGTGCTGGTAAATTAAATTTACATCATGGAATCCACACGTCAAAAAAGGATATTTAAGGAATCACTGTCTAGTTTTTTTGATATGCCAGGGCATCAACGATAGGTGGAAACGTGGGATAATTTGCAAAACGGGCTTCGCCCGTTATGCATAAATTATCCCACGTTTCCAACTATCGTTGATGTCCCTGGCATACCCAACAAACTAGACAGCGATTCCTTATATTTATATGTGAAATAAAATTGTAAATATAAATTTAAAAAAAAAAATGCTGTCTAATAGATTTTAAATACACGAATTTCAATAGTCCCCGCCCACTGACGTCAGACACAAACACAGTCGCACGGACGAGATTGATCCTGACCGTTCGCGTGGCGAGAGGTTGAATGTTCAAGAAATCAACTTGCCTAACTTTCAAAGAGTTATCACAGAGAAATGGGAAGATAACAAAATTTTTATTTACTGGATTCGAGGGCAAAATGTTCTCGACCCCTTGAACCAAACTGTTTGCCTTAGGCATGATCGACGGCCTCAGGCAAACAATTTGGTCCGACATCACACGTGTTGACCTCGAATTCAGTCAGTAAATGTATAGTATTTATGATAAATACTATACATTTACTGACTGAATTCGAGTGCAACACGTGTGAATCACACGTGTTGCCCTCGAATTCTGTCAGTAAATGTATAGTATTTATCATAAATACTATACATTTACTGACTGAATTCGAGTGCAACACGTGTGAATCACACGTGTTGCCCTCGAATTCTGTCAGTAAATGTATAGTATTTATCATAAATACTATACATTTACTGACTGAATTCGAGGGCAACACGTGTGAATCACACGTGTTTCCCTCGAATTCTGTCAGTAAATGTATAGTATTTATCATAAATGTATAGTATTTATGATAAATACTATACATTTACTAACTGAATTCGAGGGCAACACGTGTGAATCACACGTGTTGCCCTCGAATTCTGTCAGTAAATGTATAGTATTTATCATAAATGTATAGTATTTATGATAAATACTATACATTTACTGACTGAATTCGAGTGCAACACGTGTGATCAGTGATTCATTTTGAAAATGGTTATCAAGGGTCCAAAGGACCCCTTTTAATGCGTCCAAATCCAAGGGTACTCAATGGTACCGTATATTAGATACTGCAGAGGAAATTCTGGTGAAATAGAAAAGGGTTTTGTCCGAAAGTGCAGTTGTTTTATTGAAGATGTGAGTGGTTTATACTATAATTCGCTCATGCATATCGCTTAGCACGTTGATATGATGCAATCGGCCAAGTTTTTTGATATAAATACAATTCTGTCATAAAATGCACAGAAGCAGACCAGTTGTTCTATTGAATGAAATAAGAGAGTTTTCTTTTAAAAAAAAAAAAGAAGAAAAATAGCCTGAAAGAAATTGAAATGATTCAGGTTACAGCTAAAATACAAACGTATACTAGTATACGCTTCAGCAGACAAAATTGAACTTCCTTTTTCTGATAATTGTTTCATTGTTAAATGCAATTTAACAGTGAAGTGGGAAATCTGACCCAGGTTGTTGACAACCTTATACCTGTTAAAATCGCTCATGCATATCGCTTAGCACGTTGATATGATGCAATCGGCCAAGTTTTGAAGCAGATTATACTGAAATAATTTTTAAAATTATACCTTTCATTTTATAAATTAAATGCGTCCATTGGTTTACACATTTATTGAAATAATGCGTCCTGGGCAAAATTTATGCATAATTTACGCAGGACGCACACCAAAATGATCACTATGTATAAAAGTATGTACATTTATGTAGAATATATACGAGAAGTGAAATGTTTAAAGTTAAATTTTTTTTTATACATGTATATCCTTTGCTTGTTTAATAATCATGCTACATTATCTTCTTTTCAGGAAAAGGAAGAAAAACATTTATCTGTTATAAAAATCAAGTAAAGAACAACATACGTGTGTGTATTAAATTTCTTATTTCCTTGTGCTGAAACAGTTTTATTGAAAAGTAAACCAAAAAAAGTTAGGATGTCGGTGAGTATTTTATAATTTTTACCACAGAGCATTCCCACTTAGCACTGTAATTTATGATATTTACATATTCTTTTAATTAAGCATAGTGGGGGATTTTTGTATTCCCAATATTATACGCAGTGCAAAAAAAAACATTTGTAACATACATGTACTGAAACATCATGCGTCAAAAATAATATTTCTCTCAGTAAAATGTCTTTTATACATGTTCCTTCAAATATATTGTTTTATAATTAAACTTCATTCAAAGGGATTGGTTAAAAATAAAAATGAAGAAAATTAAGCATGAAAGTTAACGATTCTTTATTCTTATATGACCTATCCATTTTAACTGTTTTATAGAGAAAACACTAACATGTTTTTAATCCTTTTTAAAAATAAGAATAAACAAAAAAGTTAGGTTTTGTCTATTGCTGCACGACAAAAATGTTACCGACGTCTTCAATTATGACGTTTAACACTGCAATGTATACTTTTAGGCATTCATTTTCATTTCATCCACAAACATAATAAATCTCTCAAATGCATCTTATTTTCCATGCTTCTCAATAATTTTCACTGCCATCTTGCTATAAAGCATCTCGCTTTGAGATGTTTTTATTAACGTTATTCCAACTGTTCAATGATCATTTCCATGTTCTTTCCGTTGTGCTTGATCTTGTGTATCGTCAGATATGAGGAAGTGACGTTAAAAGTTGACTGATCACCACTGGCTTTCTTCTTCCTCTATTGAAATTTTTTCAAAAAAATTGAAATCGCATTAATTAACGTCATTTTAAGTCAGACACTTTTACTACAAATAAGGGACATACTAATTAAAAAAAAGGGTTACGTAGAATTCCTTTGTGTATGGAAGTCAAAGACAGTCAGCTGCAAAGAAGAATGAAGTGCGTGGAGAATAAGCCAATCTTTAACAGTAATTACGCTTTCATCTAACGCTACAGTAACACGAGATCAACGTACAGCGGAATGAACATGAAATTAAATAAATTATGGAATTTAACTAATTTCAATACATCAAAATTAAGGCAAGATGCTCCAGCACTAACTGGCGGAGCAGATTTATAATACATTGTGACAGATATACATGTAGATCTGTGGATGAACTGAAAGTAACGTCATAAAGACGTCGGTCACGTTTTTGTCGTGCGGCGATAGACATAACCTCTGTCTGTGCATATATTTTTATTACATTTTCAACAGTGAAATACTGTAATTTATTATAAAAAGTATTACGTGCACCTGAAGGATTTTTTTTTAGCAATAGTCAAAATAGATAAAGGTATTAGTATTTCCGTTGATTTCATATTTTTAAAAAAGATTTTAAAGCAGGAGTGGCATTACTTTTGGGACTACCCTCGAACCACAGGCACTTGTTTCTGTAAATAAAAATTCAACTCATAGTATAATAATGTTATTATATATCATGGGTTGAAAAAATTATGATAGAAACAATTGCCCGTGCTTCGTTCTATCTAAAGGATTAACCCCTTATCAATTTTCAAAAGTTATATTCAAATTATTTCTTTCTAAAAAGTTTTGTAGATATTTATATCATTTGAATTTTTTTAATAATAAAAAGGAGAGATAACTATATATTTTATTCAGTCTGATAATAAAACAAACCTGATTCGCTGCTGTATTCTAATAGTCACTAAGCAACACGTTTGAATCAGATTGATGGAAAAACGGAACATTTTTTTTAAATATACCCCACCCCCACCCTCGCTTTCCCTTCCCCCTTTGAAACTAAAATTCCATTTTACAAGTACTTAGCAAATTCATACCAAAGCTTTTGTTGCCACTCCCACCCCGGCAAGGAGGGGGTATGTTTACAGACCAAAATACACTAGAAATGCTCATCTTATTGTGTTGTAAATTTTGAAACAAAAACAGGGTGAAAGACATGTATGAAATACTTTATATCTGATAATTTTAAATACCTTTTAAAACTTAAAATGCATTGTTAAATCGTGTTTCCTCAAAAATGAGGAGTAAACTGTATTGTGTTATTATAACATTTAATGTTTATATATATATATATATATATATATATATATATATATATATATATATATATATATATATATATATATATATATATATATATAGAGTACTCAAAAAGTTTTAAGCATGACTGTTGGCTGAATTGGCTGAATAGCTTTGTCTAATACATAACTACGTTTTCCTTGTTTAGAAACCTATACTTGAGGTGTTTCTTTTGTAGAAACCTATACTGAAAGCTTTTCTGAAGAAAAGATCAATCGATAAGAGTGTCTATATTACTTCTTCAAACTTTCAAAAAAGATGGTTTGTGCTGGATGACGACAATCTAACATACTACGATGGGAAAATTTCGGTGAGAGTACATGTGTACTAGGTAGCAGGATACTTTCAAATTTGAGTCATGGTGGCATATTTCTGCCGTCCACATTAATTTTATCTTATCGATTCATATGAAGTCAACATACGTATGTTCGGTTTTTAAAACTAAAACTCACTTTTATCAATCCGAATTCAAAATATTTGATCCATCATATATATCCCTTTTGAAGAGCTTTCAATCTGATTATCGAGTCGGTTATTGCTCTACCTACACTTATAATTGTTCTCGAGGATGGATTGGACAATCCTTATGAAACTTTACAGAAATGATAATCATTAACTGTAGCTGTACTTTCAATATTTTAAATTTTCAAAATAGACTCAGTTGCAATGGAAATAGGCGAAATATTATTTTTTTAATTTAATTTTTAAAGGAATGTGTCTTGCATCAGATCAAACTGGTTTCTGCAGGAAAAAAATGGAATCGGTTGGCAAGGAAAAAACTAGTGTTGTAGATTAGGATTTCCCCCAAAGCCAGCTTTCCCCCCGGAATCTGTACTCTAGAGTAGGATTTCCCTCAAGGGAAAATGCCACAATATAGAGACAAATTTCTCCTCTTTCTTTCTCAGAGTAGGATTTCCCCTCTTATTATATCGAAAATATTTTTGCTAAAAGTCAACTGATTTTTCAATGGAAATATGAATGTTTTCTATTCAAGAATTTGGTATGAAATCTAAAATAATTGAGTCTCAGGCAAGAATTTTAACTCATAGGAAGTTGTAATATTAGTCACTCAAAAATCTTAAGACCGATGTCTCAACACCCTCTCTCGGGGCCTGTTTGTTCACGAATTTTAAAATGTATGTCAGCCACCTTTAGTGATTTGATAATTTATTTGTCCGCTAAAAGGCCCAGTATTTTATCTATGGTTCGATCCTTTTTACAAATACATGTAGTGTGTGAAAAAATTCTAAAATTTGTTATTAAAGGTTCCACATACTATTTTGTGAGTATTTGAGTCGAGTTCTTCAAAGGGAAAAAAGCCAAAATTAAAAACTAACAATACAAGGAACACTGCTTTTGCAAGCCAAAGCATACGTATGTCTCCTCGACCCCAGCGTTGTAATATTGGATTTGAAAGCAGATATAGCAAATATACTCTTTTAAAGTTTTGCAAAATTTCAAATTTTTAGAAATAAATGAGTCATTTTTAGTTCCATGGCAACTGCAGCTATTTAATATTTTAACATCAGAAACTTAGAGAGACACATATCAATAATATGTAAATGTAGTTTGAAATACAATTGGAGAAAAAATCCATTTAAAGTAAAATTCCTTTATGTTTCCATGGACACAGTTAAAATTTGTTCAACCGATTACATTGTATCATTTAAAAAAAAACAGATGAAAAGAATAGGATTTTAATGTTTGAAAAGAATTGGTTGGATAGTTACTTAGAAAAATGATATTTAAAATCTTAATTTTTAATCGTATGTTTCAGTGGAACTGGTTGCCATTTGAAGAGACACTTGTAACAATGTGTCGCCCCCTCCCCATGCACTCATACATAAGTACAACCATAATGTTTTACTGCGGGAAAATTGGCTCTGGGTGAAATCGCACCCTAAAACTATAATACAGAGTAGGATTTCCCCGCGGAAAATTGAATCTGATGTGGGATTTCCTACTTCAGAGTCATTTTTCGGTGGGGGAAATCCGTTTTAGGGCGGAGGCTACTCTACAAGACCGGTATCAGTTACACAATTTTAATCTAAGATGTTCTAGAAAACATTATTGAATTCTTTAAAGCAAAAGCGATATTTTACAAGCATAAGTGACCATTTTCAAATGTTAAAAAATGAGAACAACTTAAAAATGTGGTTTGACAGTTTCTCAAAATAATTCCTAGCAGAATTAAAACCAAAACATTCAAAGTTATAATTATTTACCCACCCATGCAATCATTTCTTACAGTGACTTGCATGTAGCAGCAATTCACCCGATTAGCATGAAAGCAATCATATTTGTAATGAAATGATAAATTCTCGATGATGACTGGTCACTGACTCTTGTAAAATGTCGTTTTTGCATTCGAAAAATATGTTTTCTTCATCAAATTAGAACTTGTAATGTTATGATTATCATAAAGTATAATGAGGGTTATAAATGACAATATAAATGACAATTACTTATAACCAATCTACTTTATTAATTTTTAGTCCTTGATCTTACTCATGCTCTTCTAGTAGCCAAACTGTTTTTATATTCTTATGAATCGGAATTCAAAAACTTCATGAGAAGAAGGAAACTCTTGCTGGGGCCTTCAATTCGACATTTCAATTTATCGACGACGTAGTTATTTTCGTTCATATGTCGATTCGATATATCCCGGAGAACTAAATAAAAGACACTAGGGAGTCTTCCGCATCTCTGTTTCATACTCGGATATTTAATAGCTATATATGTTATAATGGCCTACCAATAACAAAACTATATGAGAAACGGGATGACTTAAAATTTTCAATCGAAACCTTCCTTTATTAATTTAGAATTATTCCAGTATCACCTGCTTAATATTGTGGTGTTTTTATGTATTCTAACTGATTCGGTACGCAAGAGAATGTTCTGAGTACGTCAGTACGATCATTTATTACCCAGTAAATGCTACTAACAAATAATTCTGATGTCATAGGGCTTGGAACAACCTCATCTGAAGTCTGCATTTCACAAAATTTATGACCGACATTTAGACCACTGTTTTTATACCAATTTTCACTAAGGATTACACTATTTACCTGGTCAATACAGAGGGCTCACTGCGGGTGTGACCGGCCGACAGGGGATGTTTACTGTTTCTAGGCACATGATCCCATCTCTGATGATCCCAGGGATCAGTATATTTTGCCCTGTTCATGATTCGCATTGTTTACATATAATTTGTCTGTGATTGAACACTGTTATCTTCACCTTTTCATTTTGTGAAGTTTCATTAACACTGCATTCGCCATTTGCTAGAACATTCGCGGACATCATTGTAGGTGAATGGATAAATGTGTCATTTAGAATCAGATACTATGCAGTAATAAAAGGCTGTACATCTATACAGTGGAAAACATATACGGTTGAGTTTTTTGATTAACAGAAAATGGGTGAAGAAAAAGGAAAGATTGAACTTAAAAAGATCTTGGCAGTCGAGGCAGTGGACCACGGTTGTCTGGATGGCAAAAGGAATGTCTTTCAGGTATAATGATAATCACCATTATCACCATCCTCAGAATTTATAAAGCACCCTTTATTTTAAAAAAAATCCTTAGAGTATTTTGTATTAGTAAAAATAAACAAATAAATGTCAAATGATTCTTTTATTTGGACCTTCTTAAAAACATACTTAACACCCCCCCCCCCCTAAAAATGGCATCAAATGTTTAAAATATGATTACATGGCAAAACTCAAAATATAACAAAAAATTATATTTAAAAAACGGTTTAAATAAATATTCCAAGCAGAAGAAACTAAGATATAGAGAATGAACAAGAGGCCCAAGGGCCTTAAAGGTCACCTTAATATAATACAACCCTGTATAGGTTCGATGGAAAAGCAATTTGATAATTATATAATAAAACAAATTAAACTGAATTAAATCTTAAAAAAATGTTTGAAGATACAATTTGTTGCTCAAAACAAGAGAAATAAGATGATTTAGCTTTCCTGAAAAGCTTGTCTGACGTGAGCAAATTTATTATTATGCTAAGAATAAAAAAAATGTTAAGTCTACTGTAATCAGCATAACTCGATCCAGAAATTAATTCCAATGCTAGAAATTAAGAAATGTTAAGTCTAGTGTAAAACATTTAGTTAGACTCGGGCTTGAATATATTCTATATCTTGTTTCCTTTTCAACCATGGGCATAGACTATGCTAAATAAAAAAGTTACAATTATTATAGTTACAGATAAAGATTAACAATTAAATGAATAAAAAGTTTTAAATCATATCAAATGTTAAAAAAAAAAATTAAAGTTGTTTCATTTTAAATGATCAACTAATTAACATCTCTGCACTTTAGCAAAAGAACGTTAAACTACGCCTTTCATTTCTAATACATGTACTTTAAAGTCTTTAATTATGAATTAAACAGGTCCGCAATTTATTGATATATGTAGTCAAATTCTGAAGGCAGAGAGTCTTAGTATGTTTCGAAAATAAACGTAAATTGGTTAATCTGATAAGGATAGGTATTCTACAAGACGTTATGCGCGATGTTGTTGACAACGCTACGGTTTAATAGCGCTGCATGTACAACAGTATTGAGGCATATATAACGCTTCTATTAATGCAACTATTTTCTACATGTTTTCATGTGTTCGTGAAATATACGGAAAAAAATCACCGTCAACTTTAATAGACTAATGAACAAAAAAGTTAACTTGTTTTGTATGTGTAAAGTTTGCTTGTTACTCCTAAATGCATTTTTATACATTACAATGAAGCAAAAGGAATTACAGTCATATTTTTAAAAGAACGTCGACTGGACAGATATGTTGAACCTCCTAAATGCCGTGTAAAATATTCATTGATTGAGTAAAGTTATTACCGGTAATATGTTATTAATTCTGAACATTTGCATTAGCACATTATGCATATTGAATATATTTTGTGATCGATATAAAAATACTTTGAATTTAACTCCTCTAGATACGACTGGTAATTATTTTTACACATTTTAGACTATTAACATTTTTGTTGAACTTGTAAGCCATTTCTTCTCTGCAAAGTACATTTCTTGATATCAAGCTCATTGAAATATTTTAAATCTATGGGGAAAACACATTATGCAGATATAATTTTTTTTATTTAAACTTTTTTTGTAATTGAGTAAATTTATTTTTGTATTGATATGTACGTTTTTAAATCTTAATGACGTCACAAACGGCATGGTTTGTCCTTGTTTTATTAAAAAATTGAGAACTGTAATTCATTTTTAAAATTCTACCCAAGAAGAAAATGCGAGCCCTGTTTAAAAATGTTATGCGTTACGTGCGTAAAAAGTCGCTAATTTGTGCTTTAAAATATTATTACATTTTGCATTACAATCTATTTGGTTGCCCGCGTAGCTCAGTGGTTAGAGCGTTTGCTCCATAGGGTCTTGTCTTCCGGATTGTTAAATGTAAAATAAATTTTAAAAATTTTGAATCTTCTTTAAATACACGTAAAAGTTGTTAAAATAGATATCCTGACAATTTCAGTCAAGAAAAACCACGTTTAAAAAAGACGTACCACACCTATATAGTTACATAAACAAACAATCTAATTGAACTTATTTTCTGACTAGAATCTAGTAGATCTATTCAAAAGCTATTGATTTATATCAAAGTCACCCATATTGGAAGCATTATTTTGAAACTACTAATTGCAAGCATTATTTTGAAACTACTAATACTAATAATAATTACATCAAGATTAATTAATTTGGTTTTAGCGTCCAGCGCTCTGATCTTGTTCGAGTGTTAAGAATGTTTCAATGAATCCTCTTACTCTTCGATTGATACTAAAAATAATATGAAATTTCCAAGATCGAGTAATCAAAAGAATGTTGTTGACTTGTCCAACAAGCCTAGACTACGAGGGGTGATCAAAAAGTTCGCGAACTTACTATCTCTGTATCTACAAAACCACAATTCAGATCAGAATGAAATTTGGCATACATATGGTCATAAATATGATCTATTAATAGCATGTGTTAAGTAATTTATGACATCACTATGTGAAATGCAGATGACTTGTGACAAAAAATGTTTGACTCAGTCATACTCGAGCAAGAAGCGGCTGTAAATTTTAAACGTATATCTTAGAAAATTCTTTGCAGTAATATATACAATTTGTACAAGGTTTATGAAGACAAAGGACTTGCCTAAAGTTCAGTTAGTAACTGGATGTATTGTTTTAGTGAAGGAAGGGAGATGGTTAAAAATGGTGTTCGTTCTGGGTGCTCAGTGGAAGTAAGTTGGGAAAGAGATTTGTCCTTAATTGAGCAATTTTGTAATTAAGATCGCCAAGTTACAATGGAAAAAAAGTTGAATATTTTAGCAATAAAATAATTGTAATCCCCTAAAATTTCAGTTTCTTTTGAACATGTCACGTGACCGCGTGGACCACGAGTTTCTGCATGAGCAGAACGTGTGTATTAAAACCAAAGGGGTCTATTAAAAAAAAAAATTAAACACTGAAACCTAATTTGATTTCTTTTGTGGAAGTTATTCACTATTCGCAAACTTTTTGATCATTCCTCGTAAAACTAGTAGTCTGCCATATATTTCTCTTTGAATAATACACAATTACTAGTATATAAATATTGTGTAGTTGAGTGTAACATTGAAAATTTTCACCCCAAGAAAACCAATCTCAACCGAGGCGTAGCGGAGGTTGACAATGATTTTCGAGGGGTGAAAATTTCCAATGTTACACTCAACTACATGCAGTATTTATTAATTATACTGAATGTTTTATACAAATACATATAACAGTGAACCTTGCGCACATAAATTCTGCGCAGTCAATATTTTTGGAATATTACCCGTCGTCAAGCAATGTTGACTGTTGCTATGCTGCATGGAGGGCATTGCTTCATTATTCAGCGGGTAATAGTGTTTTTTAACACATGTTTCTCAACGAATCAGATTCAACTAATTTACATGAAAGTATAATATGTACAAATATTATAGGGTTATTGAACTTATATAGGTGAATATTTGCACGAGTTGGCTGTACAAATGCACGAGCTTGTGAGTGTATTTGTACAGCCATCTCGTCCCAATGTTCACCAATATAAGCTCAATAACTCTTTTATTATATAGCTAAAACATTTTCCATTGATTTACATTAATTATTTCAATTAAATAACCCCAGATTAATGAGAATTTTTCAGTTTCTATTCAAATTAAAAATGTCAAATATCAGCGTCTCTCCAGTAAGTGTTCAATATCGCATCATTCCAGTGACCCTACCAAGCGTTATGATTTTCTTATTGAGGTTTTTATTGAGACTAATAGGTACTAAATTATTAATTAATAATTTGAATTTTGTGTGAAAATAGACACGTCTTACTTAAATGCCACTACTCTTAATTAATATTGTCGTTGAGCGGTTGACCAAAGGAAATTGCTCATTGTTCCCATGCAAATAGTTTGCCTGTTTTTTTCCAAGAGGAAAGAAAAAGATTTTCAAATTTGAAATGAATTTTTAATACATGACTCCTGCAAACAGTTGTCTGCGAGATGTGCAGGAGTATAGAAAATATTTTTAAACGAGTTTCAAAAAGGCATAATAACGCCTTTTTCAAAGGCGTTATAAGGCCTTTTGGAAAGGTGTGACAACGTCTTTCAAAAAAGGCGTAATAACGTCTTTTTAAGGAGGGATTCTTGTCTTGTTTCTGACTATATGAAATATTCAAAGTATATTTGCTTATATGTCTTATATATTTATATGTAAGGGATTTAAAAAATCATATTTTACTTTCCTCATCATAGTTGTACAACTTTAAATAGAAATGTTAAACTGAGATTGGAATCTAGCAGGAACTATATTTTTGGCGGAACGACGGCGTATGAAAAAACCCCGGTATCTTCTTTTCTGCTTCTCAAAATTACTATAGAACAATGAATTTAGATAAAAAAAATTTAAACAATCACAGACTTTGAAAATATTTCAAATGTAAGTAAAATTAATAATAATGGACTGAAGTTTTCAAAATATTATATATATATATATATATTAGCTTTTAAAAGCTTCCAATCTAAGTACAAATTTGAGCAAAAAATCAGTAAAAAGTGTTTATTCTCTCTTATTAAACGGTCAAATCTTTTTGTTTTTTGTATCAATTTGTATCTTTATATGACTACTTTACCATATGTGAAAATAAGAAAAATTTAAATATACGAAGCATATAATAATAACTGATATTTCTTAAAAGTTTAAGAAAAATAGAGAAAATTCGGATAAGACAATATCTATTTTACTTTGAATTATTCTTGTCTATTTGGTAGTATCATCTGAAAGACCCAATATGGTAATATCTTTCTATGTAAAAAGAAAAATATTTAAACTTTTGAGATAGAAGTAGGCGTCGCGTGATTGGCAATAGTATTTTTTTTATTTTTAATGTGAAGGAAAAAGATAATGACCTTGACCTGACCTTGCTTCTAAAATAAAACGGTCAGATACTATCACTTAGTGATAATGTCTTCTTGAATCTATGAAAATTTCATTAATTTTTAAATACAAGAAATATGAGAAGAATCCTTCCTATAACGCCTTTTGGAAAGGCGTAATAACACCTTTCAAAAAGGCGTAAAATTGCTTTTTGGAAAGGCGTAATAACGCCTTTTTGAAAGGCGTTACATGTATAAAGCCTTTTGGAAAGGCGTAATAACGCCTTCTTGAAAGGCGTAATCACGCCTTTTTGCGTTATTACGCCTTTATTAGCGTTATAACGTCTTTTAGAAAGGCGTTAGTACGCGAAGTGAAAGGGCGTTATAACACCTTTTTGCGTTATTACGCGTTTATCGGCGTTATAACTTCTTTTAACTTAGCTTTATTACGCCTTTTTTTCGCGTTAAACCCCTTTTGAAAAGGCATTATTACGCCTTTTTTTTTAATTTATTTCACCCATATATTGATTCTAATAGGCTTTACTAACATGTATTAACATGTATATATATTTAATTGAAATTAGTGAAGCGACCCTTTTCAGAAATGACGTCAGATTTGTTATGTCTGTATCAAAAGAGCAGAACCGCAGTTATCATGAAACAGTCTGTAGTCTTTTGCTGGAGATTCTATATAATTCAAACGTCGTGGCCCCTTTTTTTGCTGCAGAAGGATAGATTGATTTGTTGTATGTTGTTTTACGTCCCGTTCGAGAATTTTTCACTCACATAGAGACTTCACCATATACCGATGACGGGCTTTAAATTTAGACCTTTATTCGCTTGGCGAAGGAACAGTTGCTTCTATTTTTTATCGACTTGGGTCAGTCGCGGCCGTGATTCGAACACACGACCTTCCGATCTGCAGAAAGGTAGATATGTGCCATGTTAATGGTATTGCATAAAAAATTGCCAAAAATTGAGAGAAAGATCTTACCCTCTCCCAGTTTATGTTTTTTTCCTGGTCATTTTTATATTCGTGTCCCCTTCTTCATCTTTGATAAAGGCTGCTACCGGCATGTCGATCTTATGTTTATGTCTCTCACACTATGATCCTTGAGAAAATAAATTACTTATTAGGTTTTTTACTGACTATCTACAGAAATATATCGAGTTACTCAATCTCATAGGCGGCGAGGCGGAGTCGAGCCGTCTATGAGATTGAGTAACCCAATATATTCTGCAGACAGTCGATAATAAACCTAATAAGTACATTTAATAATATATTATTATTTCAAAAGAATTATTATTGCCAAAAAAAAAATTGCGCATCAGCAAATTGCTAACCAGTAGTGCCTCAATGTCGTTCATCAGTGATGGAAATATTATGTGATTTTACGATTTAATTCAGGTGATACACATATGTGCTACAAGATACGACCCTGTAATTTTATACGTGGTAACTGGTAGCACAGAAGAACAAGAAAAGTGGATCAGCGGAATCAGGAAATGTTAGATCCTTTGACTGTTAACTACAAGTATTAAACGTTTTAAAAAATGAATAAAAATGATTTCAGACAAAATTTTTCATAAAAAAAATGTTTTGAATGATATTACTTTTTATTATTTGAATGAATACTACAGTACTTAGATGTACAGGAGACGATTGTTGGATGTGTCTTTATAAAACACCATCTACTTTTCATCCTCCATCAGGTGCCATTAAAAATAATGCAACTTTTATAAAGAATTATCATTCTGGTGTGTGGACTGGTGCATGCTTTACCTGCTGTCATGCTCAAGGGAAACTAGCACGGGGATGTAAAGTGGTCCACGGTTGCGTAGAAGGTAGATCAAAGATTAACGATCAACTACATGTAATACATGTTTATCTTTAGTAGTGTATTAATGTTTTTATTTTACCCAAATAGGTACATGTATATGTTTTGTAGTGTATTAATGTTTTTATTTTTCTCAAATAAGGGTGAATATATATATATATATATATATATATATATATATATATATATATATATATATATATATATATATATATATATATATATATATATACTTCTAAGTTATTTAGTTATTTCATTTGCAATGCAAACTCAGATTGTGTTAAATTTGATTTTTTTTAAATGGTTTATGAAAAAAAAATTATAAATTCAGGTTTCTACATTCGGTGTAATTTTTAACGAAATAATTCTTTTTTCTCATGCTTTCTTAAAGATTTAAATTTAAAATATTTTAGAAAACAAAATAATTCATGAAAAAAACTAATAGTACCAGGACTCTATAACTTTGTCTTGGGCTGGGGGCTGACCTGTTAACCTAGGTTTAACTTTATGAAACACTGCTTTTTGTGAATGAGTTTGTGCATTTTCTTTCAATTTAGTTAAATGATTCTTGTATTCTTAAAAAAAACGTATTTTATGTCGGCTGGATCCTCAAAAGGTATTTCTCATGAACGTGCAGGAGAGGATCAAGGGAAGCAAACCTCCTCAGGAATTTCCTCGTCAAGTTCATCAATTAAATCACGAACCAGGACTGCTCCTTCCAGACCCCCGCCTAGTATTCCCCATAACAACGGGGAATCGAGTGGGGCTAGGCACACAGAACACGACTCCCCAAGAAGTTCCGCTAAAAGTCGGTTGACAAAGAAATCTTCTTCTACATCTCAGTCATCATCGAACGGACGTTCTCAAATTAACAAAATCTGTGTGGGGATATATGACTATAGTCCATCTTCAGATTCAGATGTGACAATTGTAAAGGTATTTTCCTGCGTAAAATTCGAAAATCATGTATTTCCTAACAAATAAAAACAATTTGATATGGTAACAGAATTCTGGCAGGTGCATCAAGGTTACCCCCCACCTTAGTCCCCAGTTATATACATGTATATATAGAGAGAAAGAGAAAGAGAGATTATGTCTAGACTGTGCTATGTAATCTATATCAAAAACGTTTATCATTTGGGAAAACGGAAAAAGCTAAAAACATTTAAATTCTGTTTCAGGGAGAACGTTTTGAAGTTTTAGATGATTCGGACGAAAACTGGTGGACTGTAAAAAATATTAAAAATGGGTAAGAGCTGCATCTACCATAGAAGTCTATATAATTTGATGATCTATTTCTTTATTTGCAGGCCTGTAGCAACGGTTTCAAAAAAGGGGGGCAACTTCCCCAAAATAAGCCGACAAACAAAAACAAACAAACTGATCAAAAGGGGATCGAGGGGGGGGGGGGCAACTTTCCAAAATTATCTGACAACTGACAAGCAAATAATAAATAAATAAATAATAATTAAAAAAAACTAATTTACTGTCCAATCCTGGAATTTGCCATGCTCGACCTTGCAACATCAAAAAGTGGAGGGCCAACCAGCATCTAAGGAAAATTTACTATAGCAAAATACTATACTCTGAAAAAAAAATACACCTCCCCCCGCGTTCTACGGGCCCGATTTGGGTCGTTCAAATAACAATATACATGAATAACGGATATAAATAGACATTTACTTTGATCAACAAAGATGCAGCCTCGGGTGCATAAATAAGTCAAAATTTCAAGCTTCCGTTACATGCTTATTTAAGTATACGTACTACGACCTGATACTCAAAGCACTTGTTGAAGATATAATTTTGAAAAGCATTTTTTTTTTTTGCTTTATTTGACCTCTTCTGTACGAAAGCCTATTAGTATCAAGAAAAAAATCATGCCCCACTATCTCGTAATTGCAAAAAAGATTTCAATACTAAGATAAAATACCTAAAAAAGGCATTCACTTTGTCTATCATTTATTCATTCATTTGAATCTCATCACCATTTTACAAAAGTATATAGAAATTTAAAGGAAGTAAAGATAATTAATACAAAATTTTATATAGAAAGATAATGCTTGGGTGAAAAAAATGCAAACTTAGTATGTTACTATAAATGTGAAGTTTGGGAATTCCAGGAAAGGGAGCATATTTATTTCTTTTCTTTATAAACTAATATAATTTCTGAAAAAAGGGTGTTTATTACTATTCTTGAAAAGTCTAGACTAAGACTAATTATATTTTATCTAGAATAATGTGTTTTGACACGATGAAAGTCCAAAATTTACATTGAATACTTTACATAATTTGGATTGTCTCTTAATTACGAGATTTTTTCATTAGGAGAACATGATTTTTTTTTTCTTACTTAATACAAATAGGTTTTATTAGACTCTTCACATCAAGATTTTGACTGAAGTCTAAGTTGTTACATGAACTCAGGACCCTGTCCTCAGCGGTGGGAGGAGGGGGGATTTAATAGTTTAATACAAGTATTGGATTTTTTGTTGCTTTTATATTCTGTATGACTTGTATATTTCAAGTTGCACTATAATATCGAACGCCTCTAATTGCTAACATTTGCATGCATTTCTGTACAATGCATTTTAATTTGACAAGCTGTTTTTCTTTTTAAAAATATTTTTGCTACAAAAATTTCTAAAATCAATTAGATATTTTACAGAGAATCTGGTTATGCCCCTAAAAATTATCTTGAAGAAGACGCTGCTGTTGATGCATACGAGTGAGTATGAAGTAGTTAGATTACTAAAAACTACTTTAATCCACAATTATTCAAGATCTTTAGAATCATTGGGGGGGGGGGGGGACTAGATGACCTATTGCTATCCGTCGTCGTTCGTCATGCTGTATTAAGAAACATTTGAACATTTGTTTGCCTCTCTGGATCCGCAGTATCAATTTTAACCAATTTTGGCATTTAGCATCTGTGGGTAAAGGGGTACAAAAATTTTGATTGACATGGTTCCCCGGGGGAGGGGGGGGGGGGGTCATGAGGGATGAGACTTAAATCATAGAAATTAATGTTAATGCAATCTTTGAAAAACTTCTTAACTTCTGGACATCAAACAGTCAAAATATTGACATGATTGGAAGAAATGAGACTTTTATCAAAAGTCTGAAAAAATAAATGGCCCCAGAGTCAGGAGTTCTGGTGTTAGGGAAGAGCTCTGTTAGTCTTTTAGTGAAAAATCATTTATTCTTTGAAAATCTTCTTCTCTGTTCTTTAAGGACAGATGATACAAACAAACCTTTATCAAAAATCTTGAAAATAACATCTGAAGTCATGTTTATAAAAGTAAAATGAATAATTTTAACCTCATAGATTTTCATTTTTTATTCAAAATTTTACAATAATTGGATTTTAGGTGACAAAAAATTGTACACATATAGATTAATAAGGATGGTTTTCGAAAGGTAGTATTTTGATCATCGTAGAAAGTTTACAATTTCTTAATACTTCAGACATTTATTATTCTAAACATTTGCAATCAAAATAGATAAAAAAATATATATACCAATCCAGGCATCGATATTTTTGTTTGTATCATCTATCCTTAATAGGTATTTTGTATACAAACTAAGTGCATGGTTTTAACGAGCAAGAATGTGTCTTCAAAAATTTTAAAGGTCATGACCCCTCTGTCAGGGATTCTTGTGTTAGGGCAGAGTTCTATTTATCATATAGTGAAAATGCTTTTATTCTTTGAAAATCTTCTTTGCTTCTGGGTATTCGGCAGACAAACTAAGTGCATGAGTATAATGAACACTAAAGCCTTTTCCTAATTGTGAAATTCTTGACCCCTGGGTCAGGGATTCTGATGTTAAGGTGGGGCTCTACATGTATTAGTCCTAATAGTGAAAACGCATTAATTCTATGAAAATCATCGCCTCTCTTTGGTACTAAGCAGACAAACTAAGTGCATGATTATGTAGAGCGAGAATGCTTCTTCAAAAATTGTGAAATTCATGGCCACTGACTCAGGGGATCTGTAGCAAGGGTGGGTCTCTATTGAATATATAGTGAAAATGCATTTGATTGAATTATTTGACATTTTTTTTCTCTACTTCAGTGTGTTTAGCCAGACAAAGCGCATATAGTTATGACGGGCAGGGGTGTACATGTACATGCATCTTCCATAATTTCGAAATTGAAGTTAGGGCAAGACTCTTTTGATCCTACAGTGAACAAGATGTGTATGTGAAACACTGATCCCCCCGTATAACAGCTTATAATCAAGGTTAAACTCAAGTTAAACTCCGAGGTAAAGGTTAAGAGATAAAAAATTTTGGTACCCAAAGACAGCTTGTCTCAATACACCTGTGAAATATGAAAACCCTAGCACCAAACATTCAAAAGTTATAGCTAAGGTTAAACTTTTTTTTAAAAGTAGATCAAACTCAAAAATCAAGTTCAAAGGGTCAAAATTGGTACAAAAGAGTAGGTCTTGTCACAAGGAAGACGCATGTGAAATATGAAAGCCTGAGCACCAACTATATTCAAAAGTTATTACCAAGGTTAAAGTTTTTCAAAAAAAGGTCAAACTCAAAGGTCAAGGTCAAAGGGCCAAAATTGTCACAGGGAATACACCTATTACATATGAAAACTCTAGCACCAACCGTTCAAATGTGGGTCAAGGTGAAAGGGTCAAAATTGTTGATATTGAAGGAAAGGTTTTGTCACAAGAAATACACTTGTTTAACATAAAAGCCCCTGTTCCAACCATTCAAAACTTATGGTCAAGGTTAAAGTTTTATTAAAGTGGGTCAAACTCCAAGGTCAAGGTCAAAAGGTCATAATTATTCATACCCAAGAAAAGGTCTTATCACAATCAATACACATGTAAAATATGAAAACCGTTCAAAAGATACGGCCAAGGTTAAAGTTTGATAAAATTTTGCAAAAGTGAGTCCAACTCCAAGGTCAAGATCAAAAGGTCAAATATGTTGACACCCAAGGAAAGGTTTTCTCAAAAGGAATACTCATAAGAAATATAAAAGCCTTAGCTCCAACAAATCAAAAGTTTTGGGTAAGGTTAAAGTTTTTGCGGACAAAGAGACAGACCGACAGACGGACGGACAGAACAAAAAACTATATGCCCCAGAATCTTTGATTACGGGGGCAAAAAAAACCCCATTAATTTTTCACACAAAAAAATCTTCTCTGCTCTTGACTTTTCAGCAGAGAAACTAAATGCATGGATATGATGAGAAAGAGTTTTTCCTTCACAATTGCGAAATTCATGGCCCCTGAAACAGAGGTTCTGGAGAAAGCATAATCATTTTTTGACTCTTCTATTTACTTCAGTTGTTATATAATACACTGTGTAAAAAGCTTGTGTTATCTTTGCAAGACATCACATATCACTTTTAATTTCATATCATGTAAATAGCATTGAAATTTAAGGGTAGATTAAAATAAATTCGATTTCTTTAAAAAAAAAAGTATTTATTTTTGTACTCTTATTGGGTACAAATGTCGACATTTTACAAGACCATCTCCAAAACTTCAAAGCACCTTGAATCATATTGATATGAAATAAAAATTGTTGCACGAAAAAATCACAATTTCAAGCTTCATTTTGAGACTTTTTATGCCCCACGCAAAAGTTTCGTGGGGTATAATGTTTTTGACCACTCAGTCAGTCCTTTCTTCTTCTTTTTCGATCAGCGCAGCTGCTCTAAAACCGCTGCACAAAATTTCGTCAAACTTTGAAGATATTTAGGACACAGTATGTAGTTATGCATATTGTCAGGAAATTCCGATTCCATTATTTTCCTGGGAATTTCGGCACTTTTCAACTTAGATTTTTGGCCATATCTTGAATATAGAGATGAACAGTTTGTCAGCGCAACTCCTCTTAAACCGCTGCACAGAATTTCGTCAAACTTTGCAGATATTTGGGACACAGTGTGTAGATGTGCATATTGCCAGGAAATTCTGATTCCGTTATTTTTGCCCTTAGAGTTTTGGCTATTATTGAAAAAACTTTCCGGCTAGATAATAAGGAAATCCAATGGAATCAGCTTTTGTAAAGAAATTGTATGTGAAATATTTTATGACCTTAAAAGACCCCTATTGATTTGAGATCAAAATATCATGATTCAACACACACACACACACACAAAATCTTTGATAGAAGTACACAAAAAGTTCTCAGCCCCCCCCCCCCCTCAAATTAGTGCTTTATATAAACAAATTTATATAACTACATCATAATTTTGTTACCATCAATTATTTTATAAGTGTAAATTGTCATATGTTGGACATGGACTTACACTCAATAACAAATCACTCAGGGGAAATTAAATAACAGTTTGTCAGTATAACTCCTGCACTGAATTTCCTGAAACTTTGTAGGTATTTGAAACATAATGTGAAGATTTGTATATTACCAAGAAATTTTGATTCAATTATTTATCTAGAAACTTCAGCCCAATTTAATTTGTAACATACAAAGATTTGAATGCCATTATATGCAAGAAGTTTTGATGTGATGATTTTTTGCAAGTAATGCCCCTTTTTGAATTATACTGTGTATTTAAAGTTCATCGTGTCATTCATTAAGTGTTGCATTGTCAACTTTTGGGGGAGCGTGGGGTATGTAAGCTTGCTCACTTTTTCTTTCATTAAATCAAAAACACAATTTTAAGAGCTATCCTTCCTTAATGAGGAGCGGATATTTTGCTTAAGCAGTATCGTAATTTGGCGATAGTGATGGAGTGTAGATAGCACGGACATATTCAGGCAAGTTTCTGGGTTGCTGCCGATTACCAGACTATTTAGTTGTCCTTTGAGCATCCTTTTACTTTCAGTTTTTTTTTAATTTGTGTGTTTTATAATTTTTTACCATTCCATTGATCCTCTACAGGGTCCCATTATACTCAGATGACTGTTTAGGCCCTTTGGGCCTGTTTTTAATTAAGGCCCCTTAGGGGTAGGGTGGGGCTACAATAGGCTAAGGGGGGGGGGGGGCGAAGCTTTAAATAGAAATATATATGAAATGCCCTTGAAAATCTTTTCCTCATGAATAGCAGGGTACAATATGCAAGCATCCCTATATAGTGTACATTGAATTTTATTCAAATCATGACTCCTTGGGCTAGGTTGGAGCAACAATAAGAATTAATATTTTAAAGTATTATGCAGTAAAATCTATAAAAATTTCCCGAAGAGTAGCAGAGACCGAAAGTAAATAGGTCCCATTTTAAATATATAGAAATAAAATATGCATAAGTAGAGCCAGCCTTATTTCAACTTTCAAATGGGCATTCGACATTTTCTGCGGATTTTCTAAAAGTGTGAATTAACGGGAACCGCTTTGGACTAATTAGCAGAAGAAAAAATGGTTACCTGTAACTTTTTAGAGATTATTTTATTATTTTTTAACAACCAATGTAAAGCCACCAGTTGCAAAAAAATGGTTTAAAGTTTCCCCTAGAAAGGAGGTTTTGATGGTAGATATAAGAAAAACTCACTAAGAATGTCTAGCATAAATTCATTCGAGTATATACATGTACTCGGGCATATGCATAAAGTTCAGTCAGATGATACTCTTTGAAACACTGCAAAGCTCGTTTCCCATGCAATTATTGGTAAATACATTAATTTGGTAATATTATTAAAATTAAGTGTATTCTGCTCAAAATCCATGAGCAAGGGGTAGCAGGTTTACCCTGGCTAAGAGAGAACATAATTATACTTATATGTATCTCTGACTTAATTCTCCCGCTCAAATGACCACGACCTGTTTAGAATTCCGCTAGAATGTCCTATAACTTCCTGTCAATCCACTATAATCTCGAATGCTGTTTAAAATCATGACTGCTGGTACACAGGAGGTACCACAATAGGGGATCAATATTTTTATCAATATAATGCTTTAAGAGCTACAGACCAACAGTTAGTCTTGACCCCTGTGGCTATGGTGGGGCACAATTTTTTGGGGAAAAAATAAATTTGATATATTTCAATGGACCTTTTGTTTGGAAAAATTTGGACGATGTTATGTATGGCACGCCAAATTCACAAAAATTAGATTAACATAGTTTAACAGTTGATAAACTAGGTTTACCGATTGTAAACTATAGTTTACGAACTGTAAACTATAGTTAACGATTCATTAACTGTAGTTTGCATTTGTAAAACTATATTTAACGGTTGTATAGTGTAGTTTACGAATTTTAATCTATGTTTTTCTGCCTGTAAATAAACGTTAACAATAGATTTTGCTGATAAATATAGATTCTCATATGTAAACTATAATTTGCATTCGTTAACCATAGTTAAGAGTAGTTAATCAAAGTTTTACAAATCGTGAAACTATATTTATCAGATAAAATATGTTTTACATTCGTTAACCATACATTTCGGTCGTAATCTATAGTTAACTGTCATTTATACTCACAAACTATATTTAACAGACGTAAACTATACTTATCGATCGTAAACTATAGTTTTGAGAGCTAAACTATGATTCACATTTGCCAATCATAGTTTATCGTCATAAACTATAATTCACACTCGTAAACTATAGTTAAGCGTTGTTAAATATAGTTTATGAATCTAAACACCTGTTAACTGTTAACGATAGTTTTCAATTCGAAATTTCGCGGCGCCAATCGCGAGAAGCAATAATAGGGTATAGGTTTTATCAGTGCGGAGAATATTAAGGACATGTGTTGGGCATTATCTAAAGCAAAGACCGAGTTATACATAATCAATATTGCTTTCTATATTTAAACAGGATTAATCGATTTTGTTTTAAAATGTCGTGTATATATACATTTCCTATAGGAAATTTTAAAAATATGATAAAATTTAATTTCTTAAAAGACATCTAATATTACGAGATTTTTGCTCAAGCAAAGGAGGGTGAAGCGCGTTTTACAATGTGCCAAGCATTTTCCCGCCACATCCCATCACCAAAACAAAGAAACTGTTTGAGTGTATTCGATTAAGACAACCCGTGTCACACTAGTGTTCAATATGCGCATGCTTACTAGTTTAACTCTAGAAATCCAAATATAACATCTCGAGTGTTGTACAGTGTTTATTTAAATATGGCGGGTAAAACAGTATATCCCCCTCTCCTTCGGAGCGGGTGTATAAAAACAGATCAAAAACAAAAACCGACAATATTGTATCCTGAACATGTGTTTTCTTTGTTCAATGAATGTGAATATTCCAGCAGACACTCTGACAACTGGGTTGTAAATATCAAAGAAGAACTTTTTGAAAATGGACTTGGAATTATCTGGTTTGAACAGGACAAACAAATGATTAATAAACAATTTCCCATTATGAAACAAAGAATAACAGATATTTCATACAAAACCTCATGGCTGAAATTAATAGTTCAACAAAATGGATTTTTCACAGACATATTGAAGATTATTTGACCTTGCAATATTATTTAAGAAAGTCAATACCTCCTCTTTATAAAAAAAAACAAACAAATAAGTAGAATAAGAATGTCTTCACATAACCTTGCAACTGTAACTTGGCATCATAGAAATATTGTAAAGGAACATTTTGTGAATTTTGTAAAACTAACATTGAAGATGAATTTCATTTGTTTTTGATTTGTCCTCTATGCAAAGATTGAGAAGTTAATAACTGGAAAAAACCATCCACATTCAAACTAGTTCAATAACTGAGTGTCCAAGCTTTGTAATTTCGGAAATATTTTGCATTTAGCTTTTAAGTTAATAAATGAAAAAAAAGTTCTTTATATCTGTATATATGTATTTACTATATGTTACAATGTTTGTTTTATTTATCATGTATAGAAGCGCATGGGTTTAATAATTGGTCAGAAAAGTACTATAGCTGACATTTATCATTAATCCAGTGTTAGACATAGGTTGTGAGAGACATATACTTGTATAAATTTATATAGATCTATACCACAAAAAAGTGACGCCGGTTGGAAATAAACCTTGAGCTAATGTGATTTAATGGTTTTTGTGGTCTTACGTGGCTGTGGCTTTTAACTTTCAGTCTGTAAAATTATGTTCAATATTTAAACTAAATTTATCTTTAAAAAATTACTTATGCAATGGTACAATATTATGATTGAAGGCTGACAAGGTAATTTCCATATAGGTATAGCCTTTTAAAGTGTATATTTATTGTAATTAAAAAATCAGCTGGTTCTGGGGATGCGACCTCCATATTTATAAGATTTGTATATGTAACTGTCCTTGCTCTCACATTGGAGTCTGTACTTATTTTGAAACTGAATCATATAACTAATTAACACGACATATCTAGGTCACGATCGTTAAACCTATAGGAATAATTTTATTGATCAATATACATAGACATTTCTATAATCCAATAATTAGGCATAGTCAAAAAAAGAAAAAAAAGATAAACTTCTTTTAAAAAAAATGAATACCGTCAATGATAACACAATAGTAAATTGATGAGGTTATTCTGAAAACTAAGCAAGGAAAAAAGATGTCAAAATAATGTTGTAGATTTTTTTCATGGACGTTGTAAATTTCTAATACAATTATACAAAGACTGACAAATTTATGCTGAAACAGTTTTCACATTTACATTGCGTCTTCACTTCCCGCCATTTTTTTCACCTGTTACTCCAGGTAAACTGAGGAGTATACTCGCGTAACACGAGTTGGTCACCCGTGTCGAAGATGTCTTATTTTATTTACAACTCTAGTAACTCGTGTAACTCGTGTCACATAATCGAATACACCCAAAGAGAGGAATGCAGTGGCGGATCTAGATGGGGTTGTGGGGATTTCAACGTCCTCCTTTTAATTTAAGTGAGAGAGAATGAGAGAGAAGTCCCAAATATTTGTTGTGTTTGTTCCGTAAAAGGCCACTTTTATTTATGTATGAAGAAAATTCGGTTGTTGAAAAATAAATTCCGCGCCTGCAATATGTTACATGCACTGTGTTATGTCTTTATTTACAAATTAATATAAGATATACATGTATTTTATTAATGACAGATCACGCATTTCGGTCTCTATTTTTCTCTTTTAAATAAAAAAAATAAAATTTTAATCAATAATTTTCCTGTCATTTTTGTTTTTATTTCCAACTAGATTTGCTTTAAAATAATAGAACATTTACTTTTTATGCCAACAAGAAATATACATGCATATATATTTAACAACAATTGTCGTTACATAGCAAAATCTTATAATGCTGTAACTAGGATTAGCCGATCTATAATTCACAAAAAAAAAAAAAAAAAAAAAAAAAAAAAACTATTGTTAAATATAAAATTGATCGTAAACTATGGTTTAGAGTCGTGAAATCTAGTTTCACAGAAAATTGTGCATATCCGATACAAAATAAGAGATTCTGTTCCTTAAACTGTGTTTCTCAAGTGTAAAACTATGTTTATCGCATTTTTGTGAATTTGGCGCTTTGTATGTCTGTAAAGTTTACTTTACAAAGCCTAAACTATAATTTACATTTGTTAAGTATAGTTTAGAGTTGTAAATCATAGTTTACAAATCGTGAAACTATATTTATCAGATAAACTATATTTTGCAGTAGCAAATGATTGTTTTCCGTGTTAATTATAGTTAACGCTTGTGAAACATAGATTATCGTGTAAACTATAGTTTACAGATGTGAAATATAGATTATCATCGTTAACTATAGTTTACGGTCCGTAAACTATATAGTTTACAGTCGATAAACCTAGTTTATCAACTGTGAAACTATGATTAGATCATTTTTGTGAATTTGGCGTGTCATAGTTATGGGTGCGTATCATTACCGCTACATTTTCAAAATTGTCATTACCGCTGGATACTCATTACCGCTACAAAAAAAAAAGGTTACATTATCGCTATATTTAAAAATATACATTACCGCAACATTGCCTCTTTCGTTAGCCAGCGGATTATGCAAATACTATGGAATCCGGATAGGGCCATGCAGTTCACTATCGCATCATCGCACCATCGAGGTTTGAGTCGATAGTGCGATGACGCGATAATGCGATGACGATGAAGCGATGGTGCGATAACGATGAAGCGATGATGCGATGGCACGACAATGCGATGACGATGATGCGATGGTACGATGAAGCGATAGCGCGATGACGCGATGGCACGATAGCGATGGTGCGATAGCGATGATGCGATGGCGCGATAGTGATGACGCGATGCTATATCGTGTCATCGTTATTGCTTTATCGCACTATCGTCATCGTGTCATCGCACTATCGCTCTATCGACTAGTACTTTCTATAACCGGATGACATTCCCAGCAGTCATTGCACAACATGGCGTTTGTTGACGAAAAGATTCAAGAATATTTCTTCAACGGATACGATAATAAAGAAATCATATTCCTTCTTTGGAGTAATTATGGTGTGAAAATAAGGTAGGTATTATTAATTGTCAGAAGTTATGATAATATAAGTACCTGTATAGGCTAATATTTTCTCTAAGAGTAATAAAGGTACTATACATTAAATCTGTAGTCTCATTCAAAGATTGTTTATATGCGTGTTCTACTTGTATGTATATATCTGTTATTTAGTGATTGAAGTTAAAATCTCCCATTTTAAGATACAGTATATTTTATGCATTATTTTTTAAAATAATTAAGCTGTAGACATTTGAAAAGACGCATGACCAGACTTAATTTGAGAAGACGGAGATCATACAATGTGGATATGGCAATAAGGGCTATTCAGGTAATATTGCTTGTGTTTTATTTCATCTTTCTTTTTTGATAGATTGATCAAATCTAGAAAAATCGTCAGTAACATCTACATTTTGATGATAGCTCATTATTTTTAGTTAACTCATACAAATGTTAAAAATTTCATATGATTTACATATATTCTACTCAAAGGAAGAAATGATGTTCAGTGGACAGATTCTTGGGTGTCGTTCGATGAAACGAAGGCTTCTTCAGAAACATGGCATCTTTATAGGAAGGTATATTATCTTATTATGATTAATTAACAGAATTCAAACGATGTGCCTATTGCTTATAATGAGTTTTATATAAATAAGATATTTATAATAATTTCATTGAATTTATTTTTTTTGTTAAAATGTAATGGTTAGATTTAAAATGGTTGATGATTAATTATATATATATACTGTTCCAGGGATAACATGTGTTTATTGAGAATAATCGATCCTGATGAAGTTGATCTAAGAGCAAGTCACTGCTTGACAAGAAGAATGTATCTAAGCAATGGACCAAATTATCTTGCACATGTTGATGGGTACGACAAGTTGAAGCCATTTGGCTTCGCTATACATGGTGCAATGTGTGGGTAAGTTAATGTGCATCAGTTTTTAGTGTTCATTTGAGTCATGTAAGATTACAAGAATTTATGAAGTTATAGAATTTATGATTGTTATATACTGTTGTAGCTACATATCAGAAAACAATATCAACTATTAATCTAAATGATCAAATTCCTATCCTTTCAGATTTTCAAGACGAATACTATGGCTTAAAGTTGCAAAAACAAACAATGACTCTTTTGTTGTAGCATCATATTTCTTGAAATACCTGGAGGAAATAAATAGTTGAGTATATAATTTTTACAAATCAATGATAAATATATTCCTGAAACTGTAAATGCAGTTTAATTTTCACAAGTTAATTTTCTACTAAGTAACATTCTAAATACATTATTTTGTATTGATACAGGATAAATACACATAAAATGCATTATTTTGTAAAAAATATTTACTTGAACAAAGAAACCATATTTGTCTCAGTTCATGGTAGTATGAGTTTTCCAATACATAGGTGCTCCAAGGTGTGTGAGACTTGATGCTGGAACTGAGAATATATACATTGAGGGCATTCAAAAATCCTTCCGTTGGTACGATAATGATGACATGTGTGGAGAAAAGAGTTTATCAAAGGAAGATCAATGTCTAACCAGGTATGAATATGAAGTTGTTTTTTAAATAACAATATGATTTAGTAACTTATGTTGTATAAACAAATCAGATGAGTTTAATAACCTTCTAAAATCTGCACACCTAGGACTGAGTTCCAATTCCAGTTAACACTCCTGCAGTAGAAGTTAGAGTAATTTGCCCTTTGATTTGAAAATTGGGGGGGGGGGGGGGACTTGATCAAATCTGAATGGTCTACTACTCCAATCACAGTCAATTCAGTTAGTCCCAACTTAAGGACATACATAACGTAGTTTGAACTTTATTGTCTATTTCCCTGGAGTTGAAGAGTTACAATACTTAAAAGAACTGTGTGCTAAACTTTAATGTCCATATTTTCTGTTGTACACTTCTTCTTCAACAATTTTGGGTAAACAAAACATTTAGAATATATGTTTAGTTATTTTTGTATATTTTTCTTTGCATTATACAAGAATTTTCATCATTTGATATCTTTTTAAAACCCCTGGTAATGCATGCTAATTTTTTGTCTATGAACATCTGATGACACTATAATCTTAAATCAAGAATATTTTGAAAAATTATCAGTAGGTAAGGTATGTTGCGTATGTCCTTAATATAAGATCAAATAACTGAAGTAATTGAATACTTTAAAAATTTGTATGTGTAATCCTCATTTAAGTTTCTTTTCAAACTCTCTACTTTTCTGAACATTTTTCCTGAGGGAAAATAGATCAACTGATTATTTTCACTATTACTTTTCAAAGACCAAAATAATTCTTCATATTATTATCTTTCATAGGCGTCATTGTGTAATCTGATACCACAGATAATTTTAGAAATAATAAGTTTTGCAAACTTCATACTTTCATTATTTGCATCCGTTTCATTTAATAGAGTTCAAGGTGACACAGTTCTTTTTATAGTATTAGTTATACTACAGAGCCATCGGGGGGGGGGGGGGGGGGAGAGATGCAATTGCAACCCCTGAAAACACCAATATTTTGTTTAAAGTTTTGCTATTTATTTGTTTATTTCATATTTGAAAAAAAATGACCCCCAGAATGCAACAGACTTGTATGCATTTTTATTATAAATTTTCTGACCCAGGGGAGGGATAACCCTCCCATACCCCTCTCCATACCCCTTTCTGGAAACCTGTTGTCAAATATTTGAAAATGAAGTCAGTTTAATGATTTAAAATATCTCTGCACATAATTTAATATACATATTATTGTTTCTGTATCATTATGAAATTAATATATGACTAATTTATGTGATTGTTTTATGCCCCTATGATTAAAGATTCGGGGTCCTTATCCATATAGCTTTGGGTCTGTCTGTATTTTTATCTGCAAAGACTTTAATGCACCAACATTTTTTGACCTAATGACCTTGACCATAGGGTTCGACCTACTTATGAAAAAACTTTAATTTTGGACATAACTTCTGAATGGTTGATGTTAGAGATTTCGTATTTCTCAAGTGTATTTCTTGTAAAAAAAAATCTGTCTTGGAGTTTAACCTACTTTTGTAAAACTTTGACCTTGGCCATAACTTTGAACGGTTGATCCTAGGGAAGTTGAACGCTGGTGGAGAACACTGAGAGAGATGGGCATCTCCTTCTGGATAGACTTGTTCAAAGACATGGAAGACCAAGGGATGTTCTCATCAGCAAATATCGAGCACATGTAAGAAGAGAAATAAATTCTTTATTTATACTTTAAAAAAATTAAGAATTTACGCATTTATAACCTATTATGATATTTCTGCATGTTACCTAAATCCTTATGACTAAGACTAAACCAACCATTTATAAGTGTTTTTCTAATTAAAGAAATATTAAGAAATATAAACATTTTTTTACAGGAAAAATTTCACCCTGATTTTTTTTCTTGTTTTCAAAATTGACCTTTAAAATTTACCAATTTAGAGAATGCCTTCGCTTCTGTTTTATGAAAATCATCCAACAAGAACTTGATCAAATAAAAACAGAATGGAATAACCATTACATCAGAGCACAAAGACGCTATGATGATGATGGAAATCTCCCAGGAAAACCAGAAATGATGTTTTTCCACCCTGAAATTTTTGGTATTTTTCCTAGCAAAGATTTGTCTAATCACTAACTTTAATTTGAATATTTTTCTGTGTTTACCTTTCTCCTTCGATACCTTGGTTGTTTTTCAGTACTCAAATTTAAAACAGTATCAACACATCATGACTTCATTTTTTTATGTACAGGTGCAGTAGATTATAAATCTCCAGTGGATATTCATGACGTGCTAGAGTTTCAAAGACTATTTCCTAGTCCAAGCTCGACAGGATGTTGGGAGGACTATGCAGCATACTTTGATCATTTGCTTTTGGAGGGTGGGAGAATTGTTCCAAACACCACTGAGAAGGCCATGGAGGCTTTGAAGTACTTGGTTGAAAAGTTGTAAAATTCAAATTAAGATTAGAGAATACTTCATCACCTGATGTTTCACTTGACTTTTTTTCAATTTTCATGAAAAATATTGTACACTAATCATCAAAGTGTATGAATTAAAAGTCACAAACAGAAATTATTACTATGTTTATTGGGTCACCATACATGCCACATTCATTAGAACAACTATTAATGAAAATTGCAAAATGAGGATATAAGGAAAGCAAACTGCTCTGAGAAAAATTTTTTTGGCATACAGATGCAACAATCTAGAATTTAAAATTCAAAAGCATGCTTACTACCACAAATACACCAAATATCAATTAATATTCCCATACAAAAAAGTCTTTTTGTATTATCTTTCCCTGAAGAAATACTCCTCATATGATTATCAATGTCCTTTAGTATTATCTTTCCCTTAAGAAATACTCTTATTCGTTAATATGACTATCATTGCCATTATTGAGTTTAAAAATTAATTGAATGAAAACTTTCAAAACATAGATATAGCATTGAATACATAAAGTTATTTTCTTAAGCAAGATGGAATCCCCCCCCCCCCCCCCAAGTGATTGCCAACTACATTTTTCTGTGAAATTCCTCAGGGGGTTCTCCCCTAGATATTTCCAACAAAAGATCGCAGGTATGTGCACTTGGCAAACAGGCAGGGTCTTCCACAAATTTAATTTCAAGCTTTTTGTGAAATCCTAGTGCAGGGATTGTTTCAGCTCCAGTCCAAAACGCCAAGAGCATGTTTAGATTAATTTTAGATGTACCTTCTGAAAGAAAAGGAAAATAAAGAGATGAGTTAGAAATACATGTCAAGTAGTATAGAAGTTGCAAATTTTGACTAAGAAAAGCATTATTGCCTCTTAAGGTCAACTTGCATTTACGTGTACCTTACCAACTATTTTCCAGGATATTCCTAATTTAAAATTATAGAGTCTCATCAGGTGTTTTAAGACAAAAAAAAACAGCATACATTACCAGGAGTTTTCAAAAGATGTAATATGATGAAAATAAATAATAACAAAAATATAGTGTTAGCTGGTATTTCCTCAACATTTGCTTCAGAGGAGGTAACGGCATTTACAGGCATCATTAAATTGTACAAAGGTTTTTCAATTATTGAACTCTTAATTAAATCAACAAGGGAATAAGAAAATAAAATTCCAACACTATGTTGTGTATGTCCTTAAGCTCATAAAAGTAATGTCAGCAAATATTCTGTATAATTGGCATTCTGGTGAATTAAAGAAATAAAATTAATACTTTGAACAAGAAACCTGAATTCTGTTAATTAATCATAATAAGATAATATACCTTCCTATAAAGATGCCATGTTTCTGAAGAAGTCTTCGTTTCATCGAACGACACCCAAGAATCTGTCCACTGAACATCATTTCTTCCTTTGAGTAGAATATATGTAAATCATATGAAATTTTTAACATTTGTATGAGTTAACTAAAAATAATGAGCTATCATCAAAATGTAGATGATACTGACGATATTTCTAGATTTGATCAATCTATCAAAAAAGAAAGATGAAATAAAACACAAGCAATATAACCTGAATAGCCCTTATTGCCATATCCACATTGTATGATCTCCGTCTTCTCAAATTAAGTCTGGTCATGCGCCTTTTCAAATGTCTACAGCTTAATTATTTTAAAAAATAATGCATAAAATATATCTTAAAATGGGAGATTTTAACTTCAATCACTATTTCTTAAATAACAGATATATACATACAAGTAGAACACGCACATAAACAATCTTTGAATGAGACTATAAATTTAATGTATAGTAACTTTATTACTCTTAGAGAAAATATTAGTCTATACAGGTACTTATATTATCATAACTTATGACAATTAATAATACCTACCTTATTTTCACACCATAATTACTCCAAAGAAGGAATATGATTTCTTTATTATCTTTTCGTCAACAAACGCCATGCATGTTGTGCAATGACTGCTGGGAATGTTATCCGGTTATAGAAAGTACTAGTCGATAGAGCGATGGTGCGATGACACGATGACGATAGTGCGATAAAGCAATAACGATGACACGATATAGCATCGCGTCATCACTATCGCGCCATCGCATCATCGCTATCGCACCATCGCATCATCGCTATCGTGCCATCGCGTCATCGCGCTATCGCTTCATCGTACCATCGCATCATCGTCATCGCATTGTCGTGCCATCGCATCATCGCCATCGCGCTATCGCACCATCGCTTCATCGTTATCGCACCATCGCTTCATCGTCATCGCATTATCGCGTCATCGCACTATCGACCTAAACCTCGATGGTGCGATGATGCGATAGTGAACTGCATGGCCCTATCCGGATTCCATAAAATACACATGTCCATACATTAGACCTGTTTCCCCTGTTCACCACTGGGAGTGGAAAGTAAGACTTTAATCAGAATGTTTCTGGGTTTTTTTTCAATTTTTATTTAAAATCTATTTTATTTAATAAAACTTTTTAGAAAACCGAGCATTGTTCATGGATAAATACATAATTGGTAGACCTTTGAAGGTTATTTGCTTGAGGTACTGCTGTCTGGAAATCTCTTATATGAATTATAATGAACAGAACATATTAGTATTCCATGTCATTACTGGCTGATTTGATATGTATCGGTAATGAGTTGTAATCGGCAATATTCTTATTGATAAAATGTAGCGGTAATGATCACCCGAAAGGACAAGATAGGCTAAGAGCCCTTTTTGGCCCGTGGTTTTGGGTGTCCTTTAGAATGATGCAACAGTTTGTCAATGAAAACCTGTTGACATCCCTACCACAAAATGAGTATTGGTTCTAGGTTATGGGATACACAGAGGTCACAGGAAGGTCAGAAAATATGTCAATTTCCGAATTTTTTTCATTTTTATGCAAATTTTCAACGATTTTACAGCACATTTTGTTTCAGAAAACATATAGAGCACAAGCTTGCCTATCTACCAAATCTATATATTTCATAAAATAGTATCAGATGTATCTTGTGTATAAAAATCTCAGATAGGCAAGCTTGTGCTCTATGTTTCCCAAAGTGAAAAGTATCTTAAAGGGGCTGACTGGGGTTTTCATTGCGCAATACTTCGCGCAGCATAGTAAAAAAAAGCGTATTTACTTTTTAAAGCAACTAATTTTTACATAATTTATGAAAATTAACCAAATTAGGAAATCTCAAGTTAAAAAATCTAATTACGTTTTTAAATAACTCATATTTTAAACGATTTTTCAAATGATGGTTAGATAGACGTCGTAATAGTGTGGTTTTGACGTTATGAATAACCGAAGTTCTTTAAGAGGGGTAATTAATTATGTCATAAATTAAAAAATATAAAATAGATGCTCTTGAAATTTTAAACATAGGAAATTCAGAATCTCACAATCATTTTTTATAATTTTTTATATAAATCTGTGGTATCCGTCATGTTTTGTAGTACTCTATAAAAACAGGAAAATATCATGAATTTTGACATTTTGAGATGTCCCCTCTGGAAACCAGACGGTAGAATTGTGTGTTTCTTGCACAAAATGTACAATATAGTATTACTCATCAAATAATAAAATTTGAGCAAAAAGTCTATAGTAGTATTTGTATAATTTGCTCCAAAGAGCGAAAAAATGGTATTTTCCTATATAATCCTATAGTAAATGTACCTGTATTTTGAGACGGTCCCTCAAAAATAACCAGACGGTAGATTTTCACTAAACTTGGCATGTATACTGAAGTCAATGTAAGGTATATATGGTATAAAATTAAAGAGTTTCTCTATAGTAGTTTTCACACTATAAAACCCCAGTCGGCTCCCTTAAATTTGACAAAATTCCACCAGAATTGAGGAAATTCGGGAAAATATCTTACTTCTGCTCCCTCTTGTGGTCTCCGTGTAAGCTTTGAATGAGAATTAGTGCTGGTTTTAAAACAAGCATCATTTTAAGTTCTTAACAACAAACTATCACAGTTTTAACTGTGTTCTGATTTTTATATAAAATAAGGGACCAGATTCGGCCGTTACTATACCTTGTTCTTTCGAAGAAATATAGCGGTAATGAGTCGAAATTTTTCGTAATGTAGCGGTAATGTTGACCTCCCGATGTTATTCCTCTTTTGAAAGAAGCGTTCCGTGCATTTAATAAGCAAGTGGTCTCTGAATATCAAAATTTGATTAAATATTCATAAAAAAGTATAGCTTAGTTACCAAGTTCGCATATACATGTAACTAATATGATGTCATTAAATGCAGATGGTATTTTGGAAGTGTATCAACATCAGACTGCGACTCACTAATGGCAAATGACGGGCGGCCTGGTTGTTTTCTCGTTCGTGATTCCAGAGAAAAGGGCACCTTTACTCTTTGTTTATTGTATGATTCTTATTTAAATTGCTTCTAAAAATATACAAATTCTTCATCTGCAAAAATGTAGTAGCAATAATAATCCAATGCATGAACCTTTTATTACTTTAAATGATTACCGGCAACAGTTGCATAATTCTTATGCAAAACATATTTAAAATTGATATACTACGTAAATGTTGATGTTTAATCAAGAGAACGTAATCCTAGTTTATCATGATCATTCATGTTTTATTAATGTTTTTTTCTTGACTTGTAAGAACTTTCTTTAGCATTTGTGATTGAAAAAGAAATATTGACGAATATTTTTGAAAAGTAATCATATGTATCCATTACAAGTGACGGTGCCAGCATTAGAAAATTCCGAATCGAAAACACAACAACTGGGAAAGTTTATATTGTAAAAGAGAAGGAATTTTCCTCCGTGCCCCAACTTATTGAATATTATCAGCAACATGAAGTCGGTAAGTCTTCCAGCAGATTTTATAATTAACGTAAAATCATTTGTAAGCTGTACTTGTTAAGACTGTTTAAAGCTAACATTTATTTTCTATTAAATACAAGGCTCCACTGGCTGCAGACTGGAATCAGTCGTTATGTAATTGTGGCACAGGTGCTATATCATCGTTACCAATGAACGAATTGTCAAAATTCTGGAGAAGTTATTCTACAACAAGACCCTATTTTATATTGTGGAATATGGAGACAAATTGGATTTGGAGGAAGAAGTCATTGACTCCATCACAACTATAAATTAAATTCATCTTGCTTGAAACAGATTTAGCTGATTTTATATAGTACACTGTAAAAAAAAAAAACATGCAGTGTATACCGGTATAAATAAACATATAGTCAATATTTGGGCTGAAAATTACAAAAAGTGTAAACTTAACATTAATCCTCATTATAATGACATTTTTATTTTTTCAAATCATGGTATAAGGGGTTTCACTGATCTATCACAAAGTATTTGACAAGAGTTGGGTAACTCAGGTGAGTGTTGTTACCCGTAGGTCTCATTTACTATTTTTTTATTGTTCAACATAACTGTATTTCAACTTTATCATCATTTTTAATATGCATGCAGTATTTGTATATTATTCTTTTTAGTTTTAAAATTATTTTAATTGTTAACCTTCTTCCCTTCTTCCATGAAGAAAGGCAGAGCACAAACAAGCATACGCACAATCATATACAGACACCTCTGCTTCTTCCCTTAATACTCCACTTTATTATATACCCAAGTGTGTATCACTCAATTTTACTGTAGATTTCGTACAATCACGTGACGGTGTGATCCAGCTTTCCGGATCACCACACTGTGGTTTTCTGAATCCATATCACCCCTCTCTGAAATTGATGACGTAGTACACAGAAACGTGACGCTATTTTTCATGCGCATCAAAAAGTTCCTTGACAAAATGCTTTGTTTAATGGGAAAATCTTATATAATTGATCTCAAAAGTTTTTTAAAACTATATTTTGCTAGTTGTAAGGGGGGTATATAATAGCGAGCGCAGCGAGCGGCGCGAAGCGCCGCTCGTCACTGCGAGCTCTAACGACAACGCCTGGGCGAAGAGGAAATTCGGACTACTGCACATTCATTCAATAAAATTTTTTTCCGCAGTAATTTTGACCCACAATGCATCGCTTCTTGTTCTCGCTGCTAACTTCGTTCACGCGGTGACAACAACTAAAAATTCACACAAAATAAACTCGCCTTAATTTAATGGATATTGCATGCAGATAGTAGATTAAACGTTCTTTGTTAAAATATTTGCACTTTTTAAACTTTGCTTATGGAAATGCAGCTAACATACGACGTCATGTGACGTCACAGTCTAGACGTTCCAAATGTCTCGTGCGGTTTGAAGAGGCGGATCATAATAATGAAGTGAACACTGCGCTCGCCCCAACGGTAGCACCGTCAACATATTAAATTTATCATTATAACAGTAACTTGATCCGAAGAGCCGTATCACGTCTCGTTGACAGGCGCGGATCATCAGATCAAACTCGACGCTTCGCGTCTCGTTTGATCTGATGATCCGCGCCTGTCAACTCGACGTGATACGACTCTTCGGATCAAGTTACTGTTCTAATAATGTATATTTCTTATATACCCAACTGTTTGTCACTCAGTTTTACTGTTGAATTTACACAATCACGTGACGATGTGATCCGACGTTCCGGATCACCACACTGTGGTTTTCTGAATCCATATCACCCCTCTCTGAAACTGATGACGTAGTACACAGAAACATGACGTTTTTATTCTCGCGCATCAAAAGTTCCTTGACAAAATGGTTTGTTTAATGGATAAAATTTATGTAATTGATCCAAAAAGTTTTTTCTTTTATCATATTTTGCTCGTTTTTAAGGGGTATATAATAAATTTATCATTATAACAGTAACTCGATCCGAAGAGCCGTATCACGTCGAGTTGACAGGCGCGGATCATCAGATCAAACGAGACGCGAAGCGTTAATTATATAAGATTTTTCCATTAAACAAAGCATTTTGTCAAGGAACTTTTTGATGCACATGAAAAATAACGTCATGTTTCTGTGTACTACGTCATCAATTTCAGAGAGGGGTGATATGGATTCAGAAAACCACAGTGTGGTGATCCAGAAAGTCGGATCACCGTCACGTAATTGTACGAAATCTACAGTAGAATTGAGTGATACACACTTGGGTATATAAAAAAATAATATATATGCTCTAGCTGAGCTCAGGTCCCCAGGATCATGAACATCTTCATGATTTTATCTAGAACAGAAATTATGTAGAAGTAAAACAGTCCAAAAATAAAAATTTTAAACAAACTACTGTTACAAACTCTGCTCGCCGTATGGAAAAGTCGAATTCAACCATGAAATGGTATGTGCTAATCCCGCACAGAGAACAGAATTAAAAAATGAGTGGGTTTAAAAATTCAATTCCAGTGTTTAAATATTGCATGAGTAAATAGAATTTGTTTACGTCTGATTTTCCCTGAAAACATTACGATGTTTATCCGATGTAAGTTTAGAAAAAGATTTTTACCCAATCAAAATCTCTGTGCGGGATTAGCACATACCATTTCATGGTTGAATTCGACTTTTCCATACGGCGAGCAGAGTTTGACGCTGTTTACGGAGACTAAAGAAAATAAAGACAAGCATGCCATATATAGTTGTGTAGATAAATTATCGTAGAAAACATAGGTATAAACAGTTTGTCAGTGTATTTCCCCTGAAAGTGTAAATGAGTGCGATTCTGGGGGAGGGGGGTACTCCGTGTAATTTGGAGTTAGATACCTTGTGTTATTATTATACTATGGGTTAAAAATTTATTACCGAAACAAGTGCCTGTGGTTTGAGACCAATTCCTAAAAGAATTATCTATTGCAGATCTGATAAGGTTACACAACATAGCGAGGTTTTGTGTGATGCCTGTCTCCATAAGTATTCTCTTGTTGGTTGTTGGTTATTTGACCTGTGTTCACTAATGGAGCAAGTTAATGCATTTGAATTTGATGCTGTTCTTTATTTACTTCTTTGATTTTGTATGTTTTCTATATCAAACTTGGTATATAAAGTAGAAAAATAAAGATATATCATTCATTGTATTTTTTGTTGTTGTATCACTATGGTGACTACAAAACAGAAATTCTTTCAAAATGTTACTCCTTGTACAATCTACAGTAATTAAATAAAGCCCTTTCATTTCGCTTACTCTAGAAATGGTGTAAATCAGATGTGAATCCTCGAAAACTTTAAAGAACTTTTAGAAAATTTGAAATCTCAAAATCTTTCAAAAGTCTACAACATTAAAACGGTATGACTTTTCTACACTATATACAACAATTCCTCACGATAAATTAAAAACTAGGCATTTTGATATCATAGACAACTGCTTTTTCAATAAAAACGGAACTCGGAAATTTTCACATCTTGTGATTGATCTATGAGGCGCCGTTTTGGTATTTACTGCCAAAAAGTGATATCACCTATTCGAATAAGTGATATCACCTATTCGAATAGGTGATATCACTCATTCAAATTGAATAGGTGATATCACCTATTCGAATAGGTGATATCACCTATTCGAATAGGTGATATCACTTATTCGAATAGGTGATATCACTTATTCGAATAGGTGATATCACCTATTCGAAATGAATAGGTGATATCACCTATTCAAATAGGTGATATCACCTATTCAGCACGAATAGGTGATATCACCTATTCGAATAGGTGATATCACCTATTCGAATAAGTGATATCACCTATTCAATTTGAATGAGTGATATCACCTATTCGAATAGGTGATATCACCTATTCGCATTTCTTACAACAACAAATAATGAATGCTCCCTTCCTCAAGATTATCTAGATTTTCATTGGAACCAAGCAAATTCGGGCTGCGTTAGGGTCTGTAAGTCTCGTCACGTGACTCGCGAGATTTTTCGATAATATTAACTTCCAGGTACCTCACACATGGAGATGTGTATTGGGTTATGCATGGTTATGGTTTACACAAAGCGTATAAGGAAAGTTTAAGCAGTTGTACAAAGCCGAAGGGTTCTCCGACTTACGATGGATAAATTGAGGGTCGTAAAAGCTTGGGTGCGAGCAAGTAGGAGGAGAATTTCGATCGAAGTACAGGTAAACAAGTCAGAGAATGTCACCTGCTTCTTGGGTATTCTTGGGTGAAATAGAAGTCTTATATTATACATTTGTATCTGATTAGAATAGTTTTGTTATCATCATTCCAACTAATTTATTAACAGATTTTTCTTGAATTCGAGGATCATGTTATTACCAGCTGATTAAGGAGGAGTAGTGTAAGTGTCAGATGGGTACGAACGTCATCTTGTGACAGCATCACCTTTGTTTGGGTAAATAATTTGTTCAGAATACGCTTCATTTATCAACAAAAATTTAGCTGTTGCATGTCAGTAGGTCTAGTTTTTTAAGTATTCAACCAGGGACCTATATACTAGTATATAGGTCCCTGATTCAACATGTTCAATGTTTGAAAGCACTTATCAGGTCCAGTACAATCTTTTGATTTAGCTATATATATATAGCTTTATTAAGCTGTTCAGAATAGCTTAATTTAGCTATTTTATCACACTTTTTCTTAAATGTATACTTTTCTCAGCATGCACAAAAAGTCGCACCTTGGTGCAGTGATGATACTCAACCTTGAACTCATCTGAAATTGATGCATTTAAAACTTGCTCATTAAAATCTCCTTGCATACATGTGATAATTTTTAGGCCCAAATACTGTGCAGCAGTCCTCAAAATACAGGAATTTGGGTGAAAATACTGTACATTGTTCATCAAAAAGCTATACAAAAAACTGTAAAAAAAAATATTGACCAAAAGTCAATGTAAGAGGTTCATTTTTTATAGATAGAACGTTCTATCGTTAAAATGATATTGTCCTACGGACCCGGTTTAACGATAGAATTCGTTCCGTGTATTGGCAATGTAGCAAAATAAACACGGGCGATAACTCGTACTCTGTGCATCTTCTATAAACAATCTAGAGAGTTCCGAATGTCAATATGGCGTTAAATTTGAAGTGAGGAAAAAACGTTGAGAAAATGAGTTGATTTTTCGTATTTATATGGATTATTTTTTAGGTTAAAAGACATATACCATCTCAAAAAGGTTTGTTATGATTAATTTGGTAGTTATTTTCAGTGCAACTCCTTTTGAATTCTTCAAAATCATTTCGGAGTGAATCCACTCCGATTTGCTACATTGCAAGTATATGGGACGTATTCTAACTGTGGTGAGGGCTTGTCCCGAGACACAGTTAGATTATTCTAACTACATTTTTTAAAGCTCTTCTGAGCCAAAGGCCAAAAGAGCTAATGCTATGGCCATTTGTGCGGTGTGCGTAAACTTTTTAGAATATTGGCCATAACTCAAGAACCCTTTGGCCAATTATTATCAAATTTGTCACAGGGTATCCTTGGGCCAAGGGCTTCCGTTTATACTAAAACTAGGGTTGTGACCCTTAAACAAGGGGAGATAATTAGGAAAATAGAAACAAAAGAGACTTTGTACTCAAAGTTCTAAAAGTTTTTGGGCTACATATGCAATTGATACAGTTACTTCTTCAATGAATTTATAAAGGAGGCCAATTATGGTCAACAAGATAATTGATTAATTCAGTACATTCAATGAGAAGCAATCATACTTATCCATGCCTCAATGCACACAAGGTAGTGGACAGTTACTCAAATAATAGAAATTTATCTTTTGCTTAAAAGTAATCAAAAGTTGCAAAGTTGGAGCTATCTTTGATTTTGCTTGTTGTTTCAATAGCCCATAGCACATATATGAATAGTCAAATACATGCAACTTTTTGTCTATTTCTTACCAAAAT